ATTTACATAACAAATTTATCACTCTTATCTGTAACATACATAAATAATTATTACATACTACTACATATATAAATTGGATGATATTTTAATATAACAATTTCCATTAAGTATAATAAATAACCTCAGAAGTAATAGTTGTAAAATGTTGAATTACATTTTGAATAATTTTATCAAAACATTCAGGCTGTTGTTTTTCAAATTTCAATCACGTCATCAACTGTTATTTATCATACAATAATTATTAAAATTATAAGTAAATATACATATAACACATAAAGAAAAAAATTAAATTTTTCAAAAAGAGGAAATTTCACAATATTTTGATCTATAATAAACCATCGACATTCTTGAATCCAATTTTTTAAAAATAATTCTAATTCACCATTTTGTTAGGCCCACATTTTTTTTTCTAATATAATCCGTGACTTCATTCTATTAATGAAATTACGTAATAATTTCTCCTTAATTATTTGAAGATACGGAACATGTTGATTTTTTGTATCTCGCAACAGTAACTGTATATAATACTCTTTCCTAAAATAATGATGAAATTACATACCTCAATTAATTTAAAGTTATTGGAACTTTTATAAGAACATAAATACCAATAATCATATGATTCACATCTTCTTCCCAAAATTGTTGAACATAATTTAAAAATCATGTCTAATAAAAGTTCATTTGCAACACACCTAAAATACATGTGCCAATTGTTACCTATCATAGTATTACAATACACCTATATTATATATGCCAATTGTTACCTATCATAGTATTACAATACACCTATATTATATATGCCAATTGTTACCTATCATAGTATTACAAAACACCTAAAATACATATACCAATTGTTACCTATCACAATATTACAATACAACTAAAATACATATACCAATTGTCACCTATCATAGTATTACAATACACCTAAAATACATATACCAATTGTCACCTATTATGGTTTACAATACACCTAAAATACATATACCAATTGTTACCTATCATAGTATTGCAATACACCTAAAATACACATGCCAAATGTTAACTATCATAGTATTACAATACACCTAAAATACATATACCAATTGTCACCAAACATAGTATTACAATACACCTAAAATACATATGCCAATTGTTACCTATCACAGTATTACAATACACCTAAAATACATATACCAATTGTCACCTATTATGGTTTACAAAACACCTAAAATACATATACCAATAGTCACCTATTATGGTTTACAATACACCTAAAATACATATGCCAATTGTCACCTATCATAGTATTACAATACGAACATAATTCGTTTCCAGTCACATTTATTCACTTTAACCATAGTGGGTTAGTTAATGCATCATGTATAAGTCTTCACTGTATATCCGTGTCGGCCCGACTTCTATATATTATATTCCATATACGTTTTGGTAATTGAGGATGATAGTCATTCGAAAAATTATTTTATTTTATTTTTTCTAAATTGTTATACAAGGTTTTAGTGTCCTGTTCTGCTATTGTTGATTCTAAATTAGATCTATTATCTGGTTCATTATTAGTAAACTTTTCACTATTACTAATTAATCCTATAGGATTAACAATATTCCTGAACTGTATTGTAATCGCAATCAATAAACGTTTCAAACGCTTTTCATTTTCATCAATCTGTAATTGTGACGGCAAGATTGACCTTATGTTTTCCCATCTATTTTTTTTTTCGTTATCTACAATGTCTGATACTGTTACCACATTATTTATCAGTGACAAAAAATAACAAAATGGATTTCCTGTATTATCTAATAAATAATAATTTAAGAAAAGAGGCTCTTTAAGAAGTGCTTGAACAGAATAGTTTTGAATTTTCCTTCTTATGTTAACGTTACACCACCTTTTAAAACAAAGCTATAAAACATTCCTAACATTCCTCGTGGTTCCATACCACTTCACTGTAAGAAAATCAAAACGTTGATATGCCCGTTTAAAAATAGTTTCAGTTGTAATTCAGATGGGTGAACTGGTTGGTTAGAAGTAACGAATCCTAAAAATAGTTAGTTTATCGTTCAAGGATATAAGATTTAATCCACTGTTACGACAGCGGAGGTCACGTGACCCTAGTAACACGTCATATTCTCGAAGCTTCGTGAATCCTCGGGAGGTTACTAGATTTCGGTATTCTTTTATATATAAGACGGTCAAGACGTGACGGCAATAATGTAATGTGTAATTGAACTGCGGACAGAGAAAGACGTATTGTTGAGTCGAGCACGTGAGACGTTCTTTGTGAATTATAGCGTTTGTTATAGCGTGACTGTGGAAATTAAGTGTATTGCAAAGTTGTATTTAGAAAGAATAAACCAGTTTCATTTAAGAAAGGACTTGTATCGCTGAAGTTTCTTCGAAAAGAAATTATACGGAAAATTAACTAACGACCAGAGACGTAACACCACCTTCTTCAAAAGATAATATATATCTATTAACCCAGTGAACTTCCCTCCAAACAAACTGTATAAAAATGTTTTAAATTAGTTATCAAATTCTTAGTCGGTTCTAATACCTGAAATCTGGGCCATATAATATTACTAATAATTTGATTAAGAATAAATATTTTACCTTTTAATGATAAAAAAAGTTGAAAACGCTTCCAGACTGTAATAGGTTCGCTACATTTTTCTGTTAGTTCATCCCAGTTTCTTTGAATCCATACCACTAGAAATACTTTTATTCCTTGATTCGACCATGTATAGCCTAGCGCCTGGCCATAAACCAAGGGATTTTTTTTCGTTAAACTTTGATTCCGAATATGCTTCAAATTCCTTTACTGGATTTTGAATAACATTAAATTCTGACTCCTGTCTAATATAAATGTTTATATGTCAGCATAAGATGGTGATAACTATAATTTGATATTGAACTTAAGGAACTATTTTTTTTCTTAAATTATAAAATAAACGTTCTATTGCTGTGTAAATAAAAATCCACTTATTGGATCTCCTTGTCTTACACCTCTCTTAAAAGGAATAGCTGAAGTTGAAACCGATCCATGAACTACATAAAATATGGAATTTTTATACATTGTGTCAACCGCCTTTATAATATTCCCGCCAAAACCAAATTTTCTAAGTATCTTTTTTTAAATAATTATGATTTATGAGGTCCAAGGCTTTTTCAAGATCTAAATTTACAATAGCTAAACGTTCATTATTTTGATTTGCGAGATTTATTATATCACGCATAACGTGTATATTATCATAAATACGTCGATCTGGAACAAAGACTGACTGTCATGAATCAATTGACTCATAACAGGTTTCATTCTGTTTGTTATGGCTTTCGAAAGTAATGTTTAATCATTACCTAAAAGTAATACTGGTCGTCAATTTGTAAATTTTGTCAAATCTCCCTTTTTAGGTATTAACTTTATTATTGCTTTTTTTCATACTTCTAGAACATTCACCTGTCTCTAGAGATTCATTAAAAACCTCTAGTAGAGAAATACCAATTTTAGGACAAAATTTTACTAACCACTCAAACGTTATGCCATCAGTTCCAGGGGAATTGTCTTTTGCAAATGATTGGCAAGCGGCATTTAATTCTGTAAGCGTTAATGGAGCATCTATAGACTCCCACTCAACCGTTATGCCATCAATTCCAGGGAATTTATCTTTTGCTAATGATTGGCAAGCGGCAGGTATTTCTGTAAGCGTTAATGGAGAATCTAGAGAATCTTTTACACTTTTTGATAACCTCGGTAAGCCTTCAAAGAAAGAATCGTTAATTTCATTTACTGTTTCTTCTGAATATAATATCTTATAAAAATCAATAATGATAGAAGTTATTTCAATTAAATTTTGAGTTACCCTACAATTTTTATCCTTTAAAGCTGTTAATACAGTTTTTTGTGTACTAGGTGTTTGTCCTAATCTAAATGAATAAGATGTAGGGGTATCAGTTTCTCTGATTCTTTGGATTCGTTAATATATTTCACAGTGTTTGGCTCGATTTATACGAAGTTCTTTCAAAGTTTCCTGGTACACAGGATACATATTGTCAGTCAGGGATAATTCAGATAACTTTATTTCCAGATGCTCTATTTCCCATTTCTTTTTTAAATCAATTTTTCTTTGAAGTAATTGAGTATGTGCTTTAGTTACTCCTTTTAAACGATCCCACCACACTCTAACGCTTTTAAATGTTTTCTTTCTTGTTGTGCCTGACAATCTGTTATAATTTCGTTAATTTCACTTACATATTTGGTATTTTCCAATAATTTACTATTTAAACGCCATAAGCGCACCCCCCCCCCCCATATTCCTACTCAAAACCTCTGTATATCGTACAACTACTGCTGTGTACGTCAGAAATGAACGTATTTACATGCGGCAGTCCGAAAATTCTCGTCAACGTAATAGAATTAACTTAGAGTTTATCCAATCTGACTTTCAATATAATGTTTTCTCTTTAGCCAGTCCAAGTATATTCCTTCTTTTTGGATAAAGATATCGAAAAACATCGGATAAATCAAATTAATTTAACAAATCCTTTAATCTGTCAACTACACGAATCTATGTTCTCCCTACTTTAATCTGTCAACTACATGAATCTATGTTCTCCCTACTTTAATCTGTCAACTACATGAATCTATGTTCTCCCTACTTTAATCTGTCAACTACATGAATCTATGTTCTCCCTA